ATTCTTTACTAGAATACCATTCGTGACAAGTTGACACGAGTGACACCTATCAAAAGCCAAATGTTTCTCCTTTTTCCCAAACTTTTGGAGTTGTTCTACAAGATATATAAACGAACAAAACATGAGTGAAATCATAATTGATCTCATTCATTCCGAGAATATCCTTAAAATCAAACTTCCATCTTTTGAAGGTTTGACTAGTGAGTGTTTCAATTTCGCGAGAAATTGATCGAGGGAGTGTTCATAACTGTAAGGATTTGCAAACGAAAGCATATTACATATTACTTTCCTAGAAACCGATTCTCAATTTGTTAAGAGAAACAATTTAACTTCATTTACAAAACTAACAAATAATACATGCAAGCGTCCTTAATTAAGTATCACACCTTTGTGGCAAGAGATTACTTATAGCTTACACAAATTACATGTTATCTTGTGCCATTACAAATAAATTACTAGATAGATTCTATTTGTTGAAGAATCTTACCAAGCAATTCATGTATAATGCAATTTCCGGTTATTTTCTTTAGGGTTTGAGTATTTAGGTTTGGTTTTGTTATGAAAAATTTGTTGATTCTCAGAACAAAAAACAAACATATATCTGGCTCAGAAAAATAACCAAACAAAACATAGTTCAATAAGGAAAAACCCTAAAATTGCAGTGAATAGTGTTTCTGCCGTGAACAGTATTTCTAATGTGAACAGTATTACTGCCGTGAACAGTACTTTAGGGGTTCTTAGTGTCCGTTTTTGACCCAAAATACCTTTCTGAATAGGGAATAACATAATTAACACAACTCACAGCAAGGCTGTGATAGATGGGCATTTTTAGGGTTATAAGGTGATCTGCTAGGTCAAAAACGTGTTTAAAGTTTTGAAAATATGAAAACCGAATCAAAACATGCTTTTTCCAGATTCATTAATATTCTCAATATTTCAGAAAACATGTTCAATCAATTTTCAAAAATTAAACATAACCAAAAATAATATAGCATAACCAAATATGTAAACAGATGTAAACAGATTAGGCATGCTTGAACAACGATTACAGATATGTGTGAACAACCTAAAGCTCTGATACCAACTGTTAGATTTCTTTAGTAAATAATCTAGATCTTTCACACAAACATGTAATACGTATAAAGACATGGAAGACATACCTGGAGCCATCTTCCTTGAGTACACAGCTTTTGAACTCATCCTATCCGTTGCGCAGCAATCCTAGCAATTTATCAGGGACGGCTCAAGAACTTCTGCTCTCTCTCAGAATCTGTTTCAGCTCTCTCTTTATGATGAGAATAGGTTTAGAGAACGTGTCTGATGAGAGCAGGGCCTTAAGCTTATATAGGGCTAGGTCAAGTCGTCTCTACTCATCACCGAGGGCCGACTTGACTAATCTTCCAAGCCCACTTAATCGGTTCACGCAAAAAGGAAACAAAAATAGGACTCCTTAATAGGCCCTAAAACCTTTCCTTATTTCACAAGGTTTTGGGCCTCAAGGTACAACTTAATTTAAACCCTTATCAAACCTGATGTGACTTAGTATCTAGTGCACCGATCTAATTAGGAAAACATAACAGCTTCTTCCAGGTATGTACCTTAATTTGTTTGTACATGCCTAGATTTATAGTAAGGTTTTGTTGTCAGATTTATGTTGTTAGACAAATACTTATGTCTACCTTATAATATCAACAAAGTATTTGGTACCAGAGAGCCTGATGAAATCAATGATTGACGCGTCTCATAGATTTTTTGATCTGCCGGAGGAGGAGAAGAAGGAGTTCCAAACAAGGAACCTGTTGGACCCAATCAAGTGCGGCACCAGCTTCAACGCCGACATTGAAAAAGTTCATCTCTGGAGGGATTTCCTCAAGGTCATAGCCCACCCTGAGTTCAACTCACTCTACAAACCTGCTGGATACAGCGAGGTTTCACTGGAGTTCAGCAAACGAACCCGAGAAGTAGCCACAGAAATATTGAAGGGAATATCAGAGAGCTTAGGGTTGGAGGCGGACTACATAACAAAGGCCATGAACTGGGACCGTGGCTTACAAATTCTGGCCGGGAATTACTACCCGGCGTGCCCACAGCCCGATAAAGCAATCGGTCTACCTCCTCATACTGATCATGGACTGGTGACCCTCCTCATTCAGAATGAGATGGGTGGCCTTGAAGTCAAGCACAAAGACCAATGGGTGTTGGTGAATTCTCATTCAATGGTGCTCCAGCTTTTCCAGCACCTTGCTAGACATCCTAGAACCCATAAAACTCCTTGGAAGCTCAAGGGATTAGGTAGGGAACCAACACATGTGAAATGCACCTTGAAAAAACGCATGGAAAAACGACACAGCACGTCTGGCGACCGGTCGCAAGTTCCTGGCGACCGGTCGCATTGCAATCTGTCTGAAAGCGACCGGTCGCTTGCACCTTGCAACCGGTCGCTGGCCACGATTTCCAGCTTCTCCTCCAGACTTCGAATCTACTTCAAAACGACCGGTCGCAAATACCCAGCGACCGGTCGCTTCCTCCTTCACTTGCATACTTAATGTGAGCCCTTTTTCCAACACATAGATGGCTTTATAACACCGAACTTTGATCTGGATGCTTGTATTATGCATTTCCAAATGAGCGCAGACACTACTTCAACCCTTGTGGGGTTTGGCACTGTGGTGGCAGCCTTGGATTTGAGAGCAGCAATCTTTGAGGCATCAAATACAAATCTCTTTGTTATACAGTTTTTGTTAGAAAGTATTATTGAAAACTGGGGTGAGCTGAAGAAATCCAGGGGAGGGAAAAGAGAAGATGCAACACCAAATTCTACATGATCAGTAGTACTTGCCGAGCCAAGTGCAATTGCAGCCCATCTTTTGATGAATGCGCTGAGGGTAGAGGCATCGGCGACCTTATGTAGAATGCTGACTCCAATTGCCAATCCACCACATTCAAACAAGCTGGCCTGAACTAGTAGAATATACCCTGCTTCGGCTTGTTTGGATTCTATAGCAGTTGGAAGAAATTGATTTAGGACCTCAAAATCAGGTTTCTCCAAAATCTTTGATATGGGACAGTTGACTTGCGCGTCAAGAAATGCAGCACCGTGGTCATTGCAGGTGATCGAGGCATTATATACGAATTCCCCTGCAAAGGGGTAAAAATGAGTGAGGGCCTCAGATAATGATCTCTTTAGAAGCTTGGATTTTTCAGCAAACAAAGATTTGTGATCAATATTGCCCTCATCACTAGTACTGGGATAGAAGAGAAGTAGTGGGGTATAAATTTCGGGTTGAAACTGATCAAAAACAGAGAGGTTGATTTTTTTAAGGTGGTGAGGAGTTGGATAGGATGGTTCAATTGTTTCCTTGTGAATGACTTCAACCTTGATCTCTGAAACCATCTTTTGCTCCAGTCTAAACTTGAGTTTCCCCTCTATTTAAAAAGACTCAGATTCATCGAGCAATGGAAGTCAACTTCATTCATTTATTGTATTGCCCATTCTTTAGTATACTACTATAATCAAGGTCAAAGTAAATATACTTTAATATATGTGGTACCTGTTTGAAATTAACTTGTCACATGCAGCATACACAAGGGACACATCCTTTGACAGCATTGTAGCAGATGGATCTATGAAAGCCTCTGATCCCTTAGACTTTGGCGCTGGCCACATTAACCCCGTCAAAGCAATGGATCCAGGGCTCGTTTACGACATGAAAACCAGCGATTACATTCTGTTCCTCTGCAATATTGGCTACACTGAAGACCAAATCAGCCATATTGTTCTTTGCCCTTCAGGAACTGACACAAGCTGTCCACAAGTACCCCAATCACATGTCAACTTAAATTACCCTTCCATCACATTTTCCAATCTCCAATCTACTGTGACAATCAAACGAAGTGTGCGAAACGTAGGGGAAAACAAGAATGTCATTTATTTTTGTACCATTTCTGAGCCTGATGGAGTTGAGGTGGTGATATGGCCTAGAGTTTTAATCTTCTCATGGTTCAAAGTGGAAAGCACATATTATGTGACCCTCAAACCAAAGAAGGAGTCTCAAGGGAGATATGATTTTGGGGAAATAGTGTGGTCTGATGGCCTCCACAAGGTCAGGAGCCCCTTGGTTGTATCTGTCAATACCACCTGTTGTGACTCCCATGAATATATTCCATCACCCAGAAAATCACAAAACGCAATTTAAGCCCAGTTAATGTTTGACACACAAAAAACAAATAAAAACTGCATTACATATATGTTTGTCTTAATTTCTGTGCTTTTTTTACTCGGACATGACATGTTCATTCATTTCTCTGTTGACTTTTTTTAAAAAATTAACAAAGTGATAAATAAAACCTTGTGCTTGAGATTTTCTTTGTCGAAGATTTCAAAGAAAGTAACCTGAACTGAAATAAGCATGCATGGTGTTTGGGCCCTGAGTCTCCTATAAAGGTCTGCATCAGCCCATTTACACTAATGCCTTAGGTTAAATAATTATTTTTTTTTTTTTTGGTGAACTAAATAATTATATTTAGGTTAAACTTTATTATTAATTAATGCCAAAATGGGTCTTTGGTTGATTGTTGTCAAGTTTTACCTTAAAACTGAGGAATTCAATTGTGTTTGTTCTTTCATTTGTTCTTTTTGCCTATGTGATGAAAGTTTATGACATTTTTTTCTTTTTAAACATAGAAAGAAACTAGGGTGTTTCATTACGTACTAATGATCATTTGATTTAGTAACACTAAATTTTCATTTTATTGTAAAATATTATAAGTTCAAATCTTATCAACAACAGTTGGTGAATATAAAATATATTAAAGAAACAACTAGGTATCCCGTTTACCTAATAAAATGTTTGTCATATCAATGTAATATCCTAAAAAGATTAAGCTCTAAGGGCTCGTTTGAGATTATTTCTTTAGGAAGCACTTCTAGCAAAATCGCTTTTATTATAAAGATGTTGAATTTTCATAAGAAATCTAATTGCTTAATGGAAAAGTATTTAGGAGTTTCATGAAGAAACACATAGCAAGTACTTATTTAGAAAACACCTCTATGACCCAGAAACACTTCCAAACTTTTTAGCAAACGATATCATAAGCGTTTTTGGTTGACATAAAGTGTTTTGAGCTATTCCAAAAATCTTATCAACCTATTAAGCAATCGAAAGTGGGACTAACACATACTTGTGCAACCAACACACAAAAGGAATTAGGCATCACATCTAAAAGTTGTGTCATAATGTATAAAAGGTGCTTATGATGCCCCCATATTAAAATGACTAGGGGTGCGTTTGGGACTACTTATCTAGCAAAAATACTTCTAAATTTTTATGCCAAACATAATCAGAAGTGCTTTTAGTTGTCACAAAACGTTTTTAGCTCTTTCATAAACACTCCAAAATGTGCCTGAAATCACATTTGATTTAAGTTACTTAGACTAAAATTCACTTTCGTCTCTTTAGTTCCAATAAATAAATTTAAATTTGCTACAAATTTCTATGTTTGTGGTACTAATTGACATAAATGATCAAAAGGTAAACAATTTTAGTCTTCACTGCGATTTGATTTCATACAAATTTACTTAATTCTTCCATGGTATTTTATAAGGCAAAAGTTTTTGGTTTACATTCTATGAATTAATGTGACCTAATACAAATTGGGACCAATTTGAGAACGCTAACAAACTATGAAGATTAAAATTAAAACAAGATGGAGCTAACTAGAACCAAAGGTTAATATTACATGACCAAAAAAAAAAAATCCTATTTAATTTCACAACTCATAATATAGAGTACAAGAATGGGCGTTGGTAAATTTCAGTAAAAATAAAAAAGTGGTTATTTATTATCTTTCATTGATACAAATTACAATCCTTGGATAATTCGGTTGTTTACAGTGAAAGCCCCAAAATGCCCACAACACGAAAAGTCATCCCCAAGTAAAAAGCCGAGGCCCAAAGCACTGTTACCACATGCCCGAGTGGATGGGGACATCGATGTCCTTTTGTAATTAGGGTTTCCAAACTCCTCATAATGGGTACAACCAGCAATTTAAAAGGAGTGTCACCGGGCCAATCAGAATTCACATTGAACGAAAAGACCAAAAAGAACATCCTTTAGCCCAGTTAGTTCCCGCCACGTGTAATTGTGGCCCAATAGGAGAGGCTCGATGAGCTCACAAAGTGACCCGCAGGTGATTAAATGAGAGTACTGAAGAAGAGCCGTGGTGCTATTTGAATCACCGCTTTTGGATGAACAAAACCCTCTCTTTCCAAAACCCAAACCCTTGGCGGCTGTGAGACCCGTTGTTCCCTCTTCTCTCACTCAGTCCATCTCTCTCTCTTAGCCTCAGGATTTCTCTCTCCGTTGGCTAAAACCCCAATTACCTTTCTCTGAGATTTAGGGTGTTTTAGTAATACTTCGGATAAGTAGAAGATCTAGCTATCAATTCACGGCCATGGCCACCGTTGCACCTCCTGCGGATCGTATCCTTATAAGTTTAACCATCTGGGTATTCTTTGTTTTTGGTTTTCCTTATTGAGATCTGTTCTTCTTTGATTTGTTTTGGATCAAACTGGATCTTCTCTGTCTTTGTTGTTATTGGTTTATGCTTAACATGTAGATCGCAGTAAGCCTCTTTTATGATGTTTGCTTAGCTCTTGGTTTGTGACGCTTTGTTTTGGTGTTATGGTGTTTTATGCATGATTTGTGGTCCGCGTCTGGAAATTCATGGTTCTGTGTGCAGAAATTGAAGTCCCTGTTATTTTAAAAATTCGTATGCCTGTACTTTGACAATTTCTTTTTGGTTTGTTTCATGAGTATAGTTTGCTTTAGGCCTGGTTGAATTGATGGTTTCATATTAGGCGATTTTCATGAATTGGTTATAACTTGTGATGGAGTGATTGAATTCATTAATGAATTTTTTACCCTCATGTAAAATTCAAACTATGCTCACTGGATTCACGTGTTGTTTTTGTTTGTTGATTGTATATGTCTTTTACAAAAGTATGTATTTCCTTCACCGTTTGCTTTCTTTAGAAGCAGCAGATTTGCTACAGAAGTTGTCATTAGATTCTCAAACCAAGACCCTGGAAATTCCTGAGCCAACCAAGAAGGTACCGTACATTTCAAACTGCTAATTTTCTAGGAATCTAAGAAAATATGGTTATTTGCTGAATTTAAGTGGAACTTGAAAAAGCACTCCCAAACTGCATACTGAAACATTCAATTATTTAATCTGATATGTGGTTCTAAGGTTAGTTGCTTTTTCAATGCAGCCTTCTGTTAATCAAGGCACTCCCAAACTGCATACTGAAACGTTCAATTATTTAATCTGATATGTGGTTCTAAGGTTAGTTGCTTTTTCAATGCAGCCTTCTGTTAATCAATATGGGTCTATTGATTCTGGAAATGCTGCAAATGGTCAGATCCAATCAGAGCGCTCCGTGACCCCATTGTTACCTGATTTCATGGATCCATCTCTATGCTATCTCCCGAATGCTTATCCGTCTGCCTATTACTATGGAGGTAAATTGACGTTGAACCCTCAACTGGAGATTGGTTTTGTGGTGGATTGTTAACTTCCCCTTGAAATTCTTATGTATATGATATGGATGGTTCTGTGAATTTCTTATAGGCTATGATGGGACTGGCAACGAGTGGGATGACTACTCGAGATATGTAAATCCTGAGGGAGTTGAGATGACTTCTGTAAGTTTTTTTTTTCTTCTTTCACTTTTTGGGTAATAATTCATGGTTGTTTTGTTTGATTTTGTGTCCCACATAACTAAATCTCATTGTTTTAACTTTATGTTAAATCTGCTTGTTTGTTTTAGGGAGTTTATGGGGATAATGGGTCTCTTTTATACCACCATGGGTATGGGTATGCACCATATGGTCCATATTCACCGGCAGGTTCCCCAGTTCCAACTATGGGAAATGATGGTCAGTTATATGGGCCTCAGCACTACCAATATCCTCCCTATTTCCAGCCTCTGACTCCAACCAGTGGACCGTACACCCCCAGCCCTGCTGCCCCTCAAAGTGAGGTATCCACCTCTGTAGCTGCTGACCACAAGCCTCTGCCTGTGGAAACAGCTAATGGGATTTCTAACGGCATTGCAAATGGTGGAAGTGTGAAAGGAAATAATGTTTCAGCTCCCTTATCAACATATCAAAACTCGTCTTTCAACACCAATGGTTCATATGGAAGGGGTGCTTTGCCAGGACGTGTTCCTACTCCTGGGTACCAGGACCCAAGATATGGGTTTGACGGGTTACGTTCTCCTCTTCCGTGGTTGGATGCCCCACTTTTTTCGGATGGGCAGCCTAGACCTGTTACAAGTACAACAATTACTTCTTCAATCTCAAATGGCAATAACATTCCATCTTCAAGGAATCAGAATTACCGTCCAAATTCTCACTTCATGGTATGTATATTTTTTCTTATTTGTTTTTGTAAATTTCAATGTGTGGAAGTTTACATGTAGACGGTCACCTCATATGGAGACTGCCCCATTTCCAGCCACCAGTGGATATGTGGAAATGTCAACAAAATGTCAACTGTGTTGTATGACATGATTGTTCAATTATGGCCTTGTCCATAAATCAAACCTCTAACCTTTTGGTGTGAAAACATCTAAGGCAGGGGAGAATCAGTGGGCTCAACCTGTAGGTTGGGCCTATCCTTGTTTTATACAATTGGAATCTTGTTATTGGAGTGGAAGACTTGACTTGGAATTCCTTTAACTGGTTGAAGTTTAACAGTCATTTTGTGCAGGGTGATTTTGGATATTTAATTTAAATGTTTCAACTGCGAATGTTACTTTAGATATGTCCACCCTCATGAATTTTATTTCTTTGATTCCACAGGGTTTGCACCATCCAAGGCCATTGTCTGGAATGGGTACAGCTCAAGGGTTTATAAATAGGATGTACCCCAACAAACTTTATGGTCAGTATGGAAATACAGTTAGATCTGGTATGGGCTTTGGATCTCATGGTTATGATTCGCGAACCAGTGGACGCACATGGCTGGCTGTTGACAGCAAGTACAAACCCAGGGGAAGAAATGGCGGATACTATGGATACGGTAATGAGAATATGGATGGTTTGAATGAACTCAACAGGGGACCTCGGGCAAAGAGCTCCAAGAATCAAAAGGGTTTTGTGCCTAATGCATTAGCGATCAAGGGACAGGTGCCAACAAATCTTAATAATGACGAGGAAAAGGATAAAACAAGTGTCCCAGACCGAGAACAATACAATAAAGCTGATTTTTCCGAGGATTATACTGATGCCAAATTCTTCATCATTAAGTCATACAGTGAGGATGATGTTCATAAGAGCATTAAGTATAATGTTTGGGCCAGCACGCCAAATGGCAACAAGAAGCTTCATGCTGCATACCAGGAGGCTCAGGAGAAATCTGGTGGCTGTCCTGTATTTCTTTTATTCTCGGTGAGTCTTTTGTTTCTAGGCATTGAGAGGGTTATAGTTCAAAAGTACTTTTGGATGTTTTGTAATTTATTTGTTTTCTTTGTAGGTCAATACCAGTGGACAATTTGTAGGCCTTGCAGAGATGTTGGGGCCAGTTGATTTCAACAAGAATCTAGAGTACTGGCAGCAAGACAAGTGGAATGGCTGTTTCCCTGTCAAGTGGCATATTGTTAAAGATGTTCCCAACAGTTTGTTGAAGCACATTACTCTTGAGAATAATGAGAACAAACCTGTGACCAACAGTAGGGACACTCAGGAGGTAATTTTACATCCTACAGATTTTTTGCCTTGATCTTCTTTGTTCTTCCCCTTTGAATATTAATCTTATGGGTTTGTGTAGGTCAAATTGGAGCCAGGCCTTAAAATGATTAAAATTTTCAAGGAACATTTAAGCAAAACATGCATTTTGGATGACTTTGGGTTTTATGAGTCCCGCCAGAAGACAATTCAGGAGAAGAAGGCTAAGCAACAGCAGTTTCAGAAACAGGTCAAGACTCTGCCTTTTATATCAATCTGAAACAGTTTTAAAGTTATTAATCTATTTTCTATATATTGTGACAAATGTTTAACAGTTCTAAATACCTAACATTTGCCCGTATTTTTGAAAATACGAAAGCAGGTATGGGAAGGAAAAGCCATTGATGAGAAGAAAGAGGTAGCAAATGGGCAACTGAAAACTCAAAATTCATCAGAGGTTCCCTCTGATTTGACCAAAGAATCTATTCCAGCAGTGCATGCAAGTGAAGAGGTGAAACTTGCAGAAAATGGATTGATTGCAGCTGGAGATGCCCCAAAGGGTGCTAAGCCAGTTGTGTCAGAGAAGAGGGTTGTAGCTAATGGGGTTGCGAACGGTTGCTAGCCTTTGCCTTGCATAACGGTGGTCCAGGTTGCATTGGAAGTGTGCTGCTGTGAATGAATATATGAGAGCTACTAGAAACTACTTGCCAATTGTGCCTACTTCTTGGACCGCCGCTCTGATGACTGTTGACTTGCTTTGCTAGAGAATAGTCAATAATTCGTTGAGGAATGGCAAGTCCATCTCTAGAATTTCATGTATCTTGAGGCAGGCTAGGGTTCTGAGTAATCTATGTTCCACCCCAACCCCTCCACAGTTTTCTTTTGGGTCTATTTACCGGTGTTCTGCAGAAGCTCCTAACAGGTTTTGGTTGCCTAGGATTTTGGGTTTAGGGTTTCTCTTTCAGTGGTGCTTAATATCAGATATGTTTTTTTTTTGGGTTTTAATTTTCTTTACCATTGCCTTTTACTTGTTTTGTTATTTCCCGTCTTGTAAATCTAGATCATATCTCCATTGCGGAGCAGGTTTGCTTTTGTATTTGTATGTGAGCTAGAAGCAAGGTGGGAAAATATTGCAATATAGTCAGTTTAAGAATTTACTTTTTCCATTTTTATGTCTGTCGTTAGTTGTGCTTATAAAATTATATTTTGTTTAGACTTTAGTGGTAAAAAACAAAGGAGATGCCTTGTTATAAACGTTCCTCTTCTTTTGGCTGAATCCTTTTTTAATATAAACTTAGTATCTTGTTTTTCTTTTCCAAGCCATTTTAATCTAACCCTGGACTGGACAAACAACTGGTCGAAAAATGCAGCGGCCGCTGCTATAATGCTCTACTTGTCCTTCTGGTCATTGTCCATTGAAGTGTTTTTATTGGAAAGAATTGTCCATTAAAGTTAAAGGGCGTAAATTAATGGACCAGTATGGCTGGCCAAGTTGGCTGTTTCCTTGGCCATTCCTCGTGTGAGCTCTGCTGTACGAAGGTGCCAATGGCAAGAAAAAAGCCTATAAATATCCTAGGGTTGACTTGGACACCCACAAAGTAATTAATTCGGTTTGGTAGCAATTCATTATACAACAAGGAATCAAAGTCTCTCTCTCTCTCTCTCTCTCTCTCTCTCTCTCTCTCCCCCCCCGACACCCTAGTCTTACCATGATACAAAACCTCTTATAGTGAATTGTAAGTTGCATGATATTTAGGAGCAATGTTTACCTACAAGTTTAGTGATATTTCCTTTCCAAAGTTGCAAGAGGTACCAAGCTCAAAATCGTGCATGATTGATTGATTAAAATTTATTTTCCCTATTATACAACATAATATATGTGTTGCAATTTGTTGATAAAAACATATACTCAACGAGAGATTCTCCAATAAGTGTTTAAGTTAAGAATATTTTTAATTTCGGTCGTTGGATTGCATTCATTAGATGTATTGGTAGATTGGATGGCAACATGCCGGGTAGGGGCTTGGTATAGGGAGCTATCCCCCAAACGCGCCCCGAATCCCCAAATCAACATGTTGTTGCCTCCTATACTGTAGGTCCATCTTCTCCCCATTATCGTCGACCCGCAATCTACAATATGGTCGAGTTATATTTGCTCCTCCAAGTCTTGAAACATTTAGTATGTATGAATCGTAACTTAAGGACAGAGGATTGTGTGGTTTCAAATCCACACATCAAAGGTAAATCAGGAAAACAAAACATGAATCCAAGTTTTCTGTGCAAATTAGTTTTCAATAACAAGTATCCAATCTGTTTTAATGGAGATTTGTGTGTGAATCCCAACTTCTTGAACGAAAAAGCTCCACCAATTTCCATAGGGATGCTTCCATTGAGCCTAGGGCCTTCAACTCTCTAATAGTCACATGAATAGGACCAACAAAGATGTTGCGGCGCTAGGAGGAATAAGGAATTGGGCTAGGGTAACAATATATTATATTATAATTATATATTTATTAATTTAAAAATAATCATCATAATTATCGGGTTGGATTTGGGGAGGAGGATGCTAATACCATTCAAGACCCGTACCCAACGGGTAATTTTAAAATTCTGAGATCCATGTACTCGATCCCCATTTCACCACAAAATATGTAACCAATCCTTAACATAAAATACTTATTAGAGAATTTTCCTATATTCATATATTTATGTGATAAAGGCTATAAGCCAATTTTGAATGACTACTAGCAATAATAAAAAGGACTCTAGAGTAGGAAGAAGGGGGATGCTTCTTTTTATCTCTCCCTGTGACAGTTTAACTGTCTCCTTTCGCTCTCTCAAAGTCTCCTAAAACCCCTAAACCCCTAAAACCCTTTTGCGTTTTAAGCAAGCAGTAGCTCAGTGCCGCTCTCACCGTTTGCCATGGCCACCGTTTCCCCGCCTGTGGATCGTATCCTTACACCCTTTTCTCATTGGGTTTCCGTTTATGGATTTTTCTATACTATTTGGCTCTTTGCTGCTCTCCTTCCTTCTCTATGCAGCTTGCTTTCCCCCTCCAACTTGGTTAACTTGTTTTTTTCTTTCGTAGTTTTGAATGTCAGCTTTGTTCTTTGTCTGTATATTTACAAAACAGCACACACGTGTGAGGGTAAGATCTGTCTCCGGCGTCGTGTCTGTTTAGGAGTTTTGAGTGTAGTTAGGGCTTGTCTGTGATTTTGGTATGATTATTTCACAGCAAAGTGAAGTAAAGATGTTGAATTTCTAATTTTTGAATGGAAACTTTGATATGGCATTTTAATCTTTGGTAGATTTTCGAAATTTCTTTTAGTTTAAATTGTATGATTAGGGGTTTCTTTTTGGCTTGTTTCCATGTACTGGACCACATATATGTGTCTGGACTCTGTGCTCGACTGTTTTTTTTCCTTGACCCTCTGGTTTTCTATAGAAGCTGCAGATTTGCTGCAGAATTTGTCATTAGATTCTCAGACCAAAGGACCTGATGATATTCCTGACCCTGCCAAGAAGGTAATGGCTATCTCTGCTATTATTCTGTGTTGTGTTGATTTAAAAGATGTATTTGCATTTTATTTTTTAGAACTTCTTTTTGAGAAAAACGATAAACTGTAATGGAAAATGCCTGATGTGTTTGTGTTTCAAGCTTGATTATCTGTTTCATGATTTGCAGCCTAATATTGTGACTGCAAAAAGCAAGTCATACGTTCGGTCGAAGACCCCATTGCGACAGGATTTTATGGATCCAGCTATGTGCTATATCCCTAATGGTTACACATCTTCTGCCTATTATTATGGAGGTAATTTGTATGTGTAGTCTTCCATTATCATATCCATTATTGTCATGTTAAGAACAAACACACACAGCTGCTAGGCCATGAATGCTGTTATGTTTTGTATTGTATTGATGGTTCTTTTGGTGATGATCTGGGAATGGTTTTGTAGCCTATGGTGGGACTGGAAATGAGTGGGGCGGCATTTCAAGTTATTTAAATCCAAATGGAAGCGACATGAATTCTGTGAGTCTTACACTTAAAGCCTTTCGCTCAGAGGAAGAATTTGTGTTTGTCTGTGTCTATCACGGATGTATTTTTCTGTTTATATTTTCATACACCTCTTACATGAATTCTTATGGTAATATTCTCTGAGAAACTTTTTTGTATCATGACATGATTGTGTATCATGCTTGTTGCATATTTCAGGCTGTCTATGGGGATAATGGGTCATTTTTGTATCATCATGGTTATGGTTATGCACCCTACAGCACGTATTCAACATCAGGGTCTTCAGTTCCAACTGTGGGAGGTGATGGTCAGCTATATGGACCTCAGCAGTACCAATATCCTCCCTATTTTAAGAAGCTGACCCCTAACAGTAAAACACACACCCCTAATTCAGCTGTTCCTTTCAAGGGGGGTGTTTCCACCTCTAAAGATGCTGGCCACAAGCCCTCAACTGTAGGAATAGCTAAAGGTATTTCTAATGGTGTTCTGACCAGTGTGGGTATGAAGGAATATAATCCTTCAGATTTCGCAAAACCAACTTATCAAAACTCATCACTGAATGTAAAGGGTTCCTTCAGTGAATACCATGATGCAATATATGGTTTTGATGGTTTGGTATCTCCTATCCCATGGTTAGAAGGGGCAAATGGGCAGGGTAGGGCAGTGACTGGAAGTATAGTCAACAGAACTCCATATTCCAAGAATCAGATTTCCAGATCAAATTCTGAATTCATGGTATGCTTGCTTTATCATTGAATTTTCATTTGGGACTATCGGTCTGAGCAAGTTGGACCAGATCTACATGTAAATTAAGTGAGATGTAGCATAGCCCCATTCTTAGGGTTAGTCAATTTTATATTCTAATGTTTAAACCTAGTATGTATCTATGTGATATTAAACATATTGTGCCTGTGACCTAGTTGGTTGAACAGTGAGTTAATTACAAGCTTCAGATCCCCATTTGAATTTTGTTGGGAAATCCAATAGGTATTAGTGTTTCTCTTGGAGTTGACCTCGCTGGAATATTAATCGATTTGAATGCTGTGCTTCTGGTTGATTATCAGTTATGCTTTGGGTCATATTGTATCTAGTGTGTAATGAATTTATATTTGATTGAATAATCTGACTTTGATAGATTGTTCTTGGAGGTGGCCTCTCAAGGATTTCTATTACGTGACTTTGTAGGGTTTGCACCACATGAGGTTGGGGTATGGTATGGACACAGCTAATGGACTTGTGAATGGGATGTATACTAATGGATTATATGGTCATTATTGGAACCCAAATAGACTTGGTATGGGATATGGATCTAATGGTTTTGGTATGCAAAGAAATGGATGTGGGTGGATGGCTTTTCAAAACAAGTATAAATACAGGGGGCGAGGCAGTTCCTTCCGCTATGGTAACCAGGACATAGAAGGCTTGGATGAGTTGAACAAGGGACCTAGAGGTAAAAGTTATAAAAATCAAAAAGGATATTCACCTGTTACTGTAGCAGTTAAGGGGTGCAACATGCCGTTGAATAAAACTGATGATGAGAAGGATGCACTTAGCATGATTCCAGAGTGTGAGCAGTACATTGGAGCAGATATCCATGATCATTATGCTGATGCTAAGTTCTTCATTATTAAGTCATATAGTGAGGATGATGTTCATAAGAGTGTCAAGTATAATGTTTGGGCCAGCACACCAAATGGAAACAATAAGCTTAATGCAGCATACCAGGAGGCTCAGGAAAAATCAGGTGGCTGCCCTGTATTTCTGTTCTTCTCGGTGAGCATCTTTATGCCCATATTAAGCCTGTCATTTCATTCACTGCTTTCCTTGGCTTAGCTTCTTCTTCTTTCTCTAGGTGAAACACACACACACACACACACACACACACACACACACATACATATATATTTCTGTAGGCAAGGCAGATACTATAACAAGAGTTGTAAAACTGTCAGTGAACTTTGCTCACGTGTCTTGCATTGTTCTAAATCTTTGCACTGTAAAATTCACATCTGTAAAGTAGAGAAAGAAGAAAAAACGCATTTAGCTTACCTTTATGCTTTAATTTGACTGAGTGCCTCACAATTTCACAAACCCTCTTACACAAACGTCCGGCAGAATGAGCTTTGTGAAATTGTGACTAAGAAATCAACTGAGATAATGAGTCATTGTTTATGTTGGTCTTTTGTTGCTACAGAACAAACTATTCAACTCAGTTAATTGTAACGGTTCTTAAATTGGCTTGAATACAGGTTCTCTTTTTCAGTACCAAATATTTAATTCAAACTCAGAACAAGTTCTAGTGTTTTGCTAATGCCATTTAAAAGTAACTCATGCTAGTGAGTTAGTCTGTAATCACTTACGTGCATGCTAGATTTTGACGCGCTAGTGGTTATTGTATCTGAAGCTAATGTTGGACCCTGCAATATGTATATCTTGATTTTTAGTAAGATCTAATGACGATGTGCTTTTACTAAAGTGATTTACCAGCTACCTTGGTATGCTTATGTTCCTATGGATTAACCAAATAATTCTTTTCATTTTCACACAGTACTTATGTATTTGGAGAAGATGTGAGCTTTGGTGGGGTCTTTCGTTGCACAACAGGCTTAGCTGATCGATTTGGTAAACGAAGGGTTTTTAATACCCCTCTCTGTGAACAGGTATCTTTCTGTCACCGCCTGGCTACTGCTTTCAGTGGAATAAACATACACCTCTAAGTCGTAAGAGAAACTTAGAAATCCTTACCATTCGTAATGAAATAAGCTAAAAAGGCACATTTGATAACCCCCATTGTTACTTGTCTTTATACTCAGGGCATTGTAGGATTTGGCATTGGTCTAGCAGCTATGGTAAGTTTGAGGATTTAAGTCTTATGCACGAGCTTTAAAATCATACCTCAATTCAATTTTTCTTTTTATCTAATAGCCACGAACCTCACTACATTTGGTTTCATCTTACATGACAGGGTAATCGAGCTGTAGCAGAAATCCAGTTCGCAGATTACATTTTTCCTGCTTTTGATCAGGCATGCCTCCCTTCCAGTGCTGAGTTCTGTCATAGCTTCACGAATGATAATTAATTGGGTAACTCTTAACTTTGTAGATTGTCAATGAAGCTGCAAAGTTCAGATACCGAAGTGGAAATCAATTTAATTGTGGAGGTGAAACTTCACTTCTTTTTTCAATTATGTGGGAAGCATACTTTTCTTCTTCCCCCCCAACCCAACATATTATTGTGCATGATGAGGTTTCTTTCCAGTAGAGTGCAGCTGATGTTTTTATACTACCTAGGTTTAACAATACGATCCCCCTATGGAGCTGTGGGCCATGGTGGACATTATCATTCACAATCTCCTGAAGCTTTCTTCTGTCACGCCCCTGGTATCAAAGTATGTCTTCTTCCTTTCAAATGTTTTGGGGCCTGAGGGTTAAACTTTCCGTTGCAAACTTTAAAGCAAAAAATTGAAACCCATCTTTCAGATATCCTACTACATGAATACTATGGATCATTCGCGTCCGGCATTTCCTCCAATATTGGTTTAAATAGTTGCATTACAAGGAGACAGACAACTGGAACAAAAACTTCAAAATGGTCTCTATCAAGTCAGAAATGTGATATCATTCATCAAGTTGGAAAGTTCTAGCACACTCTTGAAAGTTTGTTCTGCTTAGTGGCTTGTGACCTGAGATAGTAGCTGCATACCTCCATTTTTCCAAAATAGTTTTGCATGTAATTGTTAACATGTTACTCATATGGATCAGAGATTGGTTGACATTGTCCATAAGCAAAATTATTAGAAGATTGGATCTCGAATTCTTTCCATATAAGCCGCTCGATTCCAACCCAAAAGGAAAAGTCAAAGACTCACATTCTCATGTTAAAATCTGATTCTTGCAAAAACAATTCAAAACAAAACAATATAAATATACATATTAGCATATTATCACAAAAACATAAATAACTTAGTGGTTAAGTTGTTGGAGGAGTGAAATAGCAAGGGTTTAAATCCCCTTTTTTATTTTTCCTTTTTTTCATTACATTGATATGATCGATATTTATACGATATGTGTATGAATATGTTCCAAAATATCCGTGATATGAAAAAACGATAATATCCTCAATATTTCGTTGATATTATCGATATTTAGAGAGCATGCCGAAACGCAGGTAGTATTATTGTATTATTATTATAATAATAAGGAAGGATACCAAATCTGAACAATGACATGATGATGGTGAAATGACAAATCAAGAGATAAGATCAACATTTTCTCTCTCTCTCTCTCTTTAGAGGAAAGTAGTAGGGATTGGCATGACATTAAGTGAAAGTACATGCTCACTTCTCATCTCTAAGAGGGAGAGAGAGAGAGAGAGTTCTCTGTTTGTTTGTTTTTTTTTGAGTGATTGTTTAGAACTCGAAACGAAATGGGCCTGAGGAGGTTTGGAAGATTGGTCAAATGGGTTGGTGGTAATGGTAGGAGGCCATTTTCAACCTCCTCCTCCTCCTCTTGTGATGAAATGATGGTTCAGCAAATTGCGAGTGGGAAATCATTGAACCTCTACTCTGCCATCAACCAAGCGCTCCACATCGCCTTGGAAACTGACCCACGGTACTGCATATCATAATCATATGCCTTTCTTCCATTCATCTTTCTATTTCCTTATTTATTGTTTTTCACTTTCTAGGAACACTCGCATCATATTTTCTTCAAAAGTTTTAATTTTTCCTTTCGACTTCATAGCTTAGAGCGAATATATGCAGAGTTCTATTTGTTTCCCGAATCGGGTTTGTTCTGCATTCAACTATTTGTTCCATTTAGTCAGTCAAGGCTATTCTTTTTGCTTTTCTTCTTCCTTCTTCGCAGATGATGATTTCGTCTCTCTATCACCTGTAACAATTATAAAATTCACAAGGGAAATACATACACACACACACACACACACATACATATATATTTCTGTAGGCAAGGCAGATACTATAACAAGAGTTGTAAAACTGTCAGTGAACTTTGCTCACGTGTCTTGCATTGTTCTAAATCTTTGCACTGTAAAATTCACATCTGTAAAGTAGAGAAAGAAGAAAAAACGCATTTAGCTTACCTTTATGCTTTAATTTGACTGAGTGCCTCACAATTTCACAAACCCTCTTACACAAACGTCCGGCAGAATGAGCTTTGTGAAATTGTGACTAAGAAATCAACTGAGATAATGAGTCATTGTTTATGTTGGTCTTTTTTTGCTACAGAACAAACTATTCAACTCAGTTAATTGTAACGGTTCTTAAATTGGCTTGAATACAGGTTCTCTTTTTCAGTACCAAATATTTAATTCAAACTCAGAACAAGTTCTAGTGTTTTGCTAATGCCATTTAAAAGTAACTCATGCTAGTGAGTTAGTCTGTAATCACTTACGTGCATGCTAGATTTTGACGCGCTAGTGTTATTGTATCTGAAGCTAATGTTGGACCCTGCAATATGTATATCTTGATTTTTAGTAAGATCTAATGACGATCTGCTTTTACTAAAGTGATTTACCAGCTACCTTGGTATGCTTATGTTCCTATGGATTAACCAAATAATTCTTTTCATTTTCACACAGTACTTATGTATTTGGAGAAGATGTGAGCTTTGGTGGGGTCTTTCGTTGCACAACAGGCTTAGCTGATCGATTTGGTAAACGAAGGGTTTTTAATACCCCTCTCTGTGAACAGGTATCTTTCTGTCACCGCCTGGCTACTGCTTTCAGTGGAATAAACATACACCTCTAAGTCGTAAGAGAAACTTAGAAATCCTTACCATTCGTAATGAAATAAGCTAAAAAGGCACATTTGATAACCCCCATTGTTACTTGTCTTTATACTCAGGGCATTGTAGGATTTGGCATTGGTCTAGCAGCTATGGTAAGTTTGAGGATTTAAGTCTTATGCACGAGCTTTAAAATCATACCTCAATTCAATTTTTCTTTTTATCTAATAGCCACGAACCTCACTACATTTGGTTTCATCTTACATGACAGGGTAATCGAGCTGTAGCAGAAATCCAGTTCGCAGATTACATTTTTCCTGCTTTTGATCAGGCATGCCTCCCTTCCAGTGCTGAGTTCTGTCATAGCTTCACGAATGATAATTAATTGGGTAACTCTTAACTTTGTAGATTGTCAATGAAGCTGCAAAGTTCAGATACCGAAGTGGAAATCAATTTAATTGTGGAGGTGAAACTTCACTTCTTTTTTCAATTATGTGGGAAGCATACTTTTCTTCTTCCCCCCCAACCCAACATATTATTGTGCATGATGAGGTTTCTTTCCAGTAGAGTGCAGCTGATGTTTTTATACTACCTAGGTTTAACAATACGATCCCCCTATGGAGCTGTGGGCCATGGTGGACATTATCATTCACAATCTCCTGAAGCTTTCTTCTGTCACGCCCCTGGTATCAAAGTATGTCTTCTTCCTTTCAAATGTTTTGGGGCCTGAGGGTTAAACTTTCCGTTGCAAACTTTAAAGCAAAAAATTGAAACCCATCTTTCAGATATCCTACTACATGAATACTATGGATCATTCGCGTCCGGCATTTCCTCCAATATTGGTTTAAATAGTTGCATTACAAGGAGACAGACAACTGGAACAAAAACTTCAAAATGGTCTCTATCAAGTCAGAAATGTGATATCATTCATCAAGTTGGAAAGTTCTAGCACACTCTTGAAAGTTTGTTCTGCTTAGTGGCTTGTGACCTGAGATAGTAGCTGCATACCTCCATTTTTGGAAGTGATTTTCCGTGTTTAGTTTCACAATAGTCAGTGCTGTGAAGTTTTCTAGAGGAAATAGGATTATCGTTCTCACTTTTTTTCTAGCTGCCCAGGAAAGGCCAGTTAGATAATCTAAAGAGTACTAACTTTTTATATAGGTGGTCATCCCTCGAAGCCCACGGCAAGCAAAAGGCTTATTGCTTTCCTGCATACGTGATCCAAACCCTGTTGTGTTTTTTGAACCAAAGGTAGTTTTATTTTAGTTTTTGAATAAATTAATTTATCCATTAGCAAAAATTGTATTTGACAAAAAAATTTGATTTGAGAGTACAAAAACCCTGGTTTTCAGTGGCTATACAGATTATCAGTAGAAGAGGTTCCTGAGCATGATTACATGTTGCCTTTATCAGAGGCAGAGGTATGCTAGCTTCATTGTAGTCCAAGTTTCGAATGTTTAATAAAAGAATGATGATTGCAGTCATGGTTTTAATATAATCAAAGGAACCTCATACTTGAAAATTGGAACTGTGGTACTCAGATAATTCGAGAGGGCAACGATATAACACTTGTTGGTTGGGGAGCTCAGTTATCTATAATGGAACAGGCCTGTAAGGATGCTGAAAAAGTAAGTTTTCCTCACTGCTAGAAAATAGTATTCCACTTCTGCTCTGTAAAATCACTATATTTGATTTGGTATGGTCCATTTTATGTGGGAATGGTTCATATAATGGTAAAAGAGTAGACGACGGTGTAAATGCCATTTGACTGGTGAGAATTTTCAGGACGGAATTTCTTGTGAACTGATAGACCTGCGAACTCTTTTACCTTGGGATAAGGACACAGTGGAGGCCTCTGTCAGAAAGACTGGAAGGCTTCTTGTAAGTATGATATGTGTATACAGAACACACTTCCTGAAAATCGGTTGGTGCACTCTTAGTGACGAATCCAATGTCCTCTTTGCAGATTAGTCATGAAGCTCCGGTTACTGGAGGATTTGGTGCTGAAATATCTGCTTCAATTGTCGAACGTTGCTTCCTAAGGGCAAGCACCAGTCTTCGCCACAACTTTTTTCTATTTAGATATTTCAGTGGTTTGCTCTTAAGCTCTTGGAGGATAACTTGATCTTTGAACTTTTGTGTAGTTGGAAGCACCTGTTGCGACAATATGCGGTCTGGATACCCCATTTCCTCTTGTATTTGAGCCCTTCTATATGCCCAACAAGAACAAGGTTAGTTATCTACAATCTTTGCTACCACGATGTTTTCTTTTGATACCGGCCACCTCTGCTTATACGGGTTTTTGTTTTCTTCATTGAATGCAGATATTGGATGCAATCAAATCAACTGTAAATTTCTAGTGCAAAAGCAAGTCTGCTTCTTTCTTCTCTCTCTAGTTTGCTTTCCTAGTGCAGGTGCCATCTCCCTCCATTATCACCTTGCACCTGTATGATGGAGTACGGAAATAATGTAGCACGATGTCTTCACTCCTTCACTCAATCTATTCCGATATTTAAAAGAAACCAGCAATAATATATTTTTCTTCGTTAAAAAGCTATAATGATTCCTCAATAACATACTTTGCTTTCCCAAACCCGTTAATTACCAGTCCTTACTCAACTGCTCAATGATCAATCAGTGAAGTGAACACATTATTAATGTGAAAATTATATAGAAAATAAAAAAAGTTCCTTTCAGGCTTGGCTCTGCTAACAGAGATGCTGAGACTCTGACAACGTTGATGGCAACAAAAAGCAGCGGGATATGGGAGCCTCCGAAAACAAGCAGCATCATCCTCGCATGGAGGAAGCTGATGGTTGTTTTTCACTAAGGATTGTAGACTATTACACGGTCCACCAAATATTGTATTAATCTCTATTGGCCTGCCCGTGGACCAATCTACAATCAGAACTTTCAATCCTCGCACTTATTAATGGTCTTGAAATTGTCAATATAGTCATTGGTTCTAATCAATATAGTCATTGGTTCTAATCACGCTAATCCAATCCCTTGTGAACAACAAAGTTTTTTCAAAAACAAAACGATATAGACATTGTTTCATTGCTTCCAATTGTGTTAAAACGTACATTTTTACTTTGTATTTTGTTCAAGACCATGTGTTACTCTGATATTAGTAAACAAAACAACGAAAACAGAATTACACGAGTCTCTTATGTAACCCAAAAATAAGTCTTAAATATAATCATCCACCAGTCAAGCCATGCACAATCCCCTTATTTACAATTCAATCCAGGCCCAACTGTCTTGGTGCCAAGTATTCCGCCCCACGGATACAACTGCTGTGTGCTTCCCACAAATAATCTGACAAGTCATTTTTAAGATAAATTGACATGAGTTGTATTAATCAGGCCAGAAAAGTTCAAAATAAATCGCTAACCGTATAAAATGAATGCCTATAAAACATGATTGGTGTTTATACCAGAACTTTAATTGGGGAAAAAAAAAACCTTAACAGAAGGCAATGAAATATCTTAACATAATTAAACAGTTAAGTACCATACCATTGCTGATTTTTCCTGAACTCTGTAAGAACTGGGTAAATGTTCTCAAAGGCTTCATATGTCTCACCTCTTACCTGAAGCATTGAAATGGTAATGCTCTTCAGATAATGTTCCCAGATAATATCATATAAAACCGAAAAAATGAAAATTCAAAAGAATCGTAGCTAATTATCACCTTCGCCCCTGTAAGAACTATTTTCCCAGACACAAAAATCAGAAGCACAATCTTCGGTTGTTTCATCCGATAAATCAAGCCGGGGAACAGTTCTGGTTCATACTGACCCCACAACAATTGAAAACAATCAGTATAACTGATTTTGTGGAATTCTTCTGGATTAACAGCACATACACTTTTCCCAGACAAAATATGAATATTTAAGATGCATGTCTCTATACAATGAGAGAAATGCATAGACAAAAGTAAACTCTAAAGATGATGCTTCCGTAAATGGAGTTTTTGGCCTATTGCCAGCACAAAACACTCCCTGCAACCTTGGACGATAAACAAGGAAAAACTTTGTCCAAAGGCATTCAGTTTTTACATGATTACAAAAAACAGACACAGAGGTGCAGCCAGAAAACTCACACTTGAGAAGGCACCATGGGAATACGCCAGGCCTTCAAGTCTTATGGGAAATTTCACGTCACAAGAACCAACTATATTTTGGATTTTGAAATCCTGTTTGCACCACAAAATTGAAACTGGATTTAAGTAAATAAAGTGACAGCATGTAGCAGAGAGCATGCATGTGTGTGAGTGAGTGTAGGAGAGAGAGAGAGTGAGAGAGTACCTTGAACTGAGCTGGAAAACCGAGTTTCTGGATGATTCGAGCATACTGAAGAACAAAGAGGTTCATGTAAGATTGTATAAATATTATGTTTCCATGACATTGCTGCTAACATGGTCATGATGCCAGCATATTTCAAATATATTAGAGGGCTATTTGCATGTGTTAGAGCTGTATAGCTTAAACAGAAACACCAATATGGCAATGTTCTGCACAAAATTTCAAACAGATGCCAGAAAAATGGATATGGGACAAACTGCCCCTGCATATAATCACACATGCTGAATGTGGAAAGTAATAAAAATACCTTTCGTGCTGCCAATTTTGATTGTTGTTCACTCTTAGCTCCCGTACAAACCTATACGACACAGTGCCGGCATTCACATTAGCATGGATTACTGATTAGCTTTATTGGAGAGACAGAATTTTTTTTTTTTGGGGGGGGGGGGGGGGGAATTCATTTAATTTTTTTTTTT